AAGTGGGTTGGTTTTTTGACTTTTTTTGTGAGAGGGGATTGTAATGATTATGGGTTGGATTTGATGTTTTGTTTTTTGTGGCTATTTTAGCCAAAAAAACCTGACTTTTTTCTTCCCAAACAAACCTTCACTATCTAAAACTTTCGTAACAGATTAAAGAAGCAGGAAGCTTAAATATACTTCATTTGACTTTGCATTTTCAATTCCCATGAAGGGCTGCTAAAAGGGTTAATTATGTAATGACGCCCCAGAAACCACCAATCCATCAAATAATATAAACCTTTACTTATAGTAAATAAGTAAGAATTTCACATTATGATAACGAATACTAATAAGCTGAGAAAAGATTTCAATTTGCATAACCTGCCAAAGATTTGATGATCAAATTTACCCACCCAGAAACAATTGGATAGCAATTATGAAATGATTAATGCCACAAAAAAAGGGCAATCTTAGAACCTAAAATCAATACCTCATAAACCAACAAAATCAAATGAAACCCAAATCATTAAAATCACAAATCGATATAATACTCATGATATATGACTAATAAATAGATCAGCTAAAGCTTCGAGACCCATCACCCAAAGACCTTCAAAAGATTCAACTGTGTGCCCGGAAAGCAAAAGCTAATGATATCATCAAAGTTCATTCACTAGCAAGTATAAACCACAAAAGAGAAAAAACAAAGAGAAAGAAAATAATTAAAAAAAAAATCAAGAGGTTTACTATTACCCTCAAAATAAGAAGAACCCATAGCTGTTGTTGAATAACTAAACCACTTTCACCACCACATTACCACCAAAGCCCAAACTTTTCTATACCTGAAATAGACAGATCAGGTAAAAGGTGAATGTAAATATGTGTTTAAAAACAAAGAAAGCATATGAGAGAGAAATGTGATAAATTTTTTGTGAACTCAAGATTATGTGAAGTCCCAACATAGAAATGTGATAAATTTTTTGTTTGAGCACTCTATCTAAACACTATGTTCAGATTATCGGATATTTTGTTCAACATGCTTTTTGATTATTTTGTTTAAATTTTTTATTAGACATTGTGCTCGACTCAATTTATTAAGTCATTATGTTCAGTTGATAAATTAGGTCATTCTAACGGAGATAATCTGAGAGAACCTCACTGGTTTATTTAAATAATGCTGATTCACACCTAAATATGGCACTATCCCACAAATCCACAATGCTTTGTTATCTCTTCATTGATCACTCACATTAATCAATTTAGAAAACATTACATAGAAACAATATCTACAAAGAGAGTACTGTATTGAATAAGAAAAATATTTCAAACACCTAATTTATCACTCTTAAAAATTACCTCTAATGATATGTTTGACAAGTGTCAAATTTTAAACATTCCATCATGTGGGATCTAACCTCAATATCATATCATTAGAGGTAATAAACTATGAGGATGTCGCATTATTGATTAAATAATAAAGAGAGTTTTGTATTAAATAATAATGTTACATATCTACAAAAATTAAAAATGCATGAAGTATTGTCAACACAACATTCTCAATATATTAAAAAAAGAAAGTATATACTATTTTCCAATAATAAAATTAAGGAATAAAAATGAGAAAAAAAAAAACTTTGCTTAGGGAGATGGTAGCCATCCAAGTTGAGTTGAGTTGGGGATGCCTTTTAACAAAGAGAGGGAAACAAAACGACAAAAGACAGCTTTTCTCCACATGCACTATCCTTTGTTTAATCTTATTTAAGCACTATAACAAGTTTTCTTGTAAATTAAAAGTTTATGTACTCAGTAACATCAAATACAAGCTCGGATAAATTTTTTTAAATTGCTTCATTTTAAATCGGATAAAATGTTTACATTTATTTGTTAGTGAATAACTCAAGTTTACAAAAAAAAAAATTCGGTCCAATATTGTTGGGTATTTTTTTAGGGGGAGAAAAAATGAGGTATCAACATGTATTATGCATTAAAAACTGGATATGGTTTTACCTATGTTTACATGAACGTCGTCATCAATTTTGAGATAGAAATCTGCATCCCACAAAGCAACAGCGGTAGCAAAATATATCTTTGTTTTCGCTGACAATTCATTGTAGCCCTCTACATGTTTCTGCCCAAAGAACATAAACAAAGTCAAGTGCGTGCCTAACAAACACGCTTTTATTTAGTCTTTAACATTCATGCTACTCAAAACAGTTATTGGCAATGGCAATAGAGGAAGCAAAGAAAAACGAACGCAACATCACCAGCCGCAAGAAGTCCTCGTGCTTTCTGTCCTCTGCTTCAATAGCTTTGTCAAGAATACCATCGGATGTTGAACTAGTGACGAAAAACAATTAATAAATTCATTTTCACTTGCAAAATTCCTAGTCCACAGCTCACTGATATGCAAAATGTTACTAGTGACAGAAAAACAATTAATAGATTCATTTTCATTTAGTGTAGAAACCAGCCAAATGTTACATTGTTTGAGTCATGGAATTCCATGTTATGTTAAACTTATTGTGGTTGGTGTTACTATTCTAGGAAACACGGTTCAGACTTCATCATTAAATTGATACAATTTAAAAAAAAAAACTCAATTTTTTCAATCACATAAGTTGTAGAGAATACATAAAACCACAACTAAAAACCACATACGTATGCAATTAGCTAATATCAGCTCTGAAAAGCATATACTAATTCGTACCTGTGACCAATAACAAAGCTTATGACAATGCCCTTCTCTTCCTCTGGCTTCCTTCTTTTCTCACCTTCAATTTTTTTTATCAGAGAACCCATTACTCATTGATCATATACAATAACATCAATCATGAAATAAAAACAAAGCTGCAAGATCAGCTAATGCACCTTGGGGCATCCACGTCTCCCGCAGGGAATCTCTTCGCTTTTGGCTACTAAAAGCTGTATTAATTCCCATAACCATGAAATATTTTTTGTTAGACTTTGCAACCTTTTGGTTTATTGACTTCGGAGAGGCCCTCGGTAGAAATATATTCCTTGTTTTTACTGCTGCTGATTCATCTTGTGTTCTGCATTCCATAATCAGGAACAGGATGTGAATTCAGTTGACTCCATGCCATACATGAGGGCATCACTTGTAAATTGTATCCAACTCAAACAAGCATTGGGATTGCTTACCGTTTGGGATGATGAGCCTTTAAAACTTCATTGCTTACAAGCTTCTGATGAAAACCAAGGAAAACACAAAGTTTGAAGTATGAACACATCAGTATTATGAACTTGATAATTAAATGAAGCAACAAAACAGAAAATGAGTAAATAGTTGATGATGATAAGTCTAGAAGAGAGAATAATTTCCATCAGAAAATTTGTTTGCACACTGTATTTGGATAAATGCTACATTTTTTAATTTCTTGAAAAAAATATATAGAAGTTAGAGAAGTTGGAGGTTTAAATTGATTCAAGTGGAGGCTGCTTGAGATTATGAAAAAATAACTCTTTGTAGTGATTGAAGACTCATATACCCATGAACAATCTGAATGATCTTTCAGGCTAACCTGATCTACCTCATGAGCTCCAAGTTCAAGCTTTGCTTGAAAAACTTAAGAGTTGAGAAACAGGATTTATTTTCTGCTCGTAAATCTGACAAATATTTTGTGAAACTCCAAAATCAAGTAGATCTTGTAGTCACCATGGTTGATAATAGCTATTCCAAATGAGGAAAAGCCAAATAATGTATCGCCAAGTAAGCTTTTAGCAATTATATTCTAGTGGTCACTGAAACCAATCCTTTCTTAAGTTGTGTTTGGATCTTGGATTTGGCGAGGGATTTGTGTGAAGGGAAAAGAAAAGATCCAAACACAAACTGAAAGTTGGCTTCCAAATGCAGCTAAACGTTAGGTTTTGTTAAAATGGAAGATGCACTCACAAGTTTGGGATTATAAGCCTCAGAAACTAAGTGTCTTCTTTCAGCTTTGACAGCAGTTGTCCTTGCAATAACCATTGTTTCAGGCACCAGCCATATCCTGATACCAAGTGCTCCAAATCAATATGACATGCAAATATTGTTAATGCTTCATCTTTCATGCATAAAACTAGGTGTAGAAAAATTGTACAAGTTGCTAACAACTAAAATAAGATCCATATAAAATATCAAATATGTGGACTTTAGTCCCCACCACATCGGATGGGGTTCTGGAGGGGTAGATTGGGTACAAGCCTTATAAGGGTCACTGGTCCAGTGGTTATTGATCCCTCAATCTTGAGTTTGTAGGTTCAAACCTAGAGGGCAAATAAGAATGTCCTGTTTGTTTAAGAAATGTTTGATCCCTCAATCTTGACTTCACATAATCTTGAGTTCATTGTTTAAAAACAAAACAATTGCAAAATATAAGAATGTCCTGTTTATTTAAATGAAATGAAATCAGATGAAATCGTCAAAATATATTCAGATAGACAGAACAATTGCAAAATATAAGAATGTCCTGATAAGAAATTAGACCGCACCAGGAACACCGGCGAATCGGAGAGCCTCTTCAATCATGTGAATCTGAGCGGACCGATGTTCTTGAAGTTGAAAGCTTCGAGCCTGCTATTAATGGCTGCGGTGGTCCCTGAGCAGCTCGTTCGCCACTGGAGTGAGAGCAGCAGAGGGAAAGCCAACGGAGTGAGAAACAAAAGAGTGAGGCTCCTTAACCCCGTCGCTCGATGCCATCGTCTGCTGTGCTCACAGTCGCGGGAGAGAGAGAGATGAGGATTTTTGGTTCAAAAATTAGGGATTTGAGATTTGGGAATTTTTGGTTAGGGGGGAAAAACGAGCGGGAATCAGATTTTGTGTTTTTTTTCATTTTTTTTTTCTGCCACATCAAGCATAACTGGGTACGGTTTGATAACATTTATATTTTTAATTTATGTTTATAAAAATTTTATAAATTAATTTTTATTTATTTTTAAAAAAATATATAAATTACAAATGCGTTTGAACAAAATATTTTAAAAAAATTAAAAATATAAACTAAAAAATATGTTTATCCAGGTCTAAAATATTTATATTTATTTTTTTATTATTTATGACAATGAGATCATACACATTTTAATTGAAAAAAAAAACTTATTGAAAAAATTTTATTTGAAAAAAAATATTTAAAAAATTAATTAAAAAAAATATTTGAAAAAATAATTAATTAAAAAAATATTGTTAGTCAAATTTTTAGATTTCTGTTTAAAAACTAACGTAAACTCATTTTTTGAGAGAGATGAGTGAAAGAGAGAGAGAGAGAGAGAGAGAGAGAGAAATAAAAATAAAAAGAGAAACAAGATGAGTGAGAGAGAGAGAGAAAGAAAGACAGCACAAAGAGATGAACAAGAGATATAGAGAGAGAATGAGAGAGAAGAAAGATGAGCAAGAGAGATAAGAGAGCCAGAGAGAATAGTGATGAGTGAGAGAGAGAAAGAGACACACACACAGAGAGAAAAAAAGAGAGAAAAACAAGATGAGCGAGAGATAGACAAAGAGAGAGAGGGAGAGAGAAAGAGAGAGAGAGAGAGAGAGAGAGAGAAACAGCAAAGAGAGATGAACAAGAGATATAGAGAAAGACATAGAAAGAGAGAGAGAGAGAGAGAGAAATATAATCATTACTTTTCAAAACTCATAACCAAACACATAATTCAAAACTCTTTTCAAAATTTAATTCAAATCAATTTTTTAAATATTTTAAATATTTTAATATTTTAAAAATATTTTAATTTTGTGAGAGACAGATAAAGAAGAGAGATAGAGAGAGAGAGAGAGAGAGAGAGACAAAGTGGTTTTTAAAAGTATATTTTCTTATAGTGGATCGATAAATCGAGAAGGAGCTTGATAAATAGAGAAGATGGGAGTGAGAGAGTGAGCAAGGCGAACATAATGAGGGAGAAATAGATAAGTAGACAGAGAGAGAGAATAGTAATGAGTGAGAGAGAGACAGTGAGAGAGAGAAATAGACAGAAAAAGAGATAGAGAGAGAAAGAGAGAGAAATAAGAGATAAGCGAGAGATAGATAAAAAGAGCGAGACATAGAACGAAAAGAGATGAGCGAGAGAGAGACACAGAAAAATAGAGACAGAAAGAGAAGAGAGATAGGCGAGAGAGATAGAAAGATAAGAGAGAGAGAGAGAAAGAGAGAGAGAAAAGAAATGAGAGAGATAGAGAGAAGAGAGATGAGCGAGAGAGAAAGAGAGAGAAAACAGATGAGAGAGATAGAGAGAAGAGAGATAGGCAAGAGACACAGAGAGAAAATGAGAGAGAGAAACAGACAGACAGAGAAACAAGAGTGATAAGTGAAAGAGATAAAGAGAAGAGAGAGTGATAGAGACAGAGAGACAGAAAGATGAAAAAATGAATGAAAAGAGAAATGTTATATCAAAAGAGTAAGACGACATTGTTTTTTTTTAATTTTTTTTACGACAGAAAAATACCGTTGAATTTATTCAAACCCTTTTGTGACTGTATATATATGAAGTTGTCTCAAAACCACAATCACTATACTAGGTTAGAGTTTTCCAAAAACTCTTTTGAGAAAATTATACTTTCTTGTTCTCCGTGTTATATTGTTTTTACTGAATTTTTTTAATATTTTAAGTATTTTTTTAATTTTTAGATACACCTAACATAAATACACCTAAAAATTGTAAAAAAAATCTTTTAAAAATTCACTAAATACCAAAAATACAATAATTCAATACATTTTTTTTATATTTTTATGTATTTATTAATTTTTAAAAATATTTTTTCATAAATTTTTTATTTTTTAGATACATCTAAGTAAAGTGCATCTAAAAAAAATATTTAAAATTTTAAAACTATCCAATAAAAATAAAAATAAAAAAACGAAAGTCACTTTTTGCGACGGCACCATTTACCGTCTCAAAAAAGCAGAGTATTTGCGACGGCACCATTTGCCGTCTCAAAAAGCAGAACATTTGCGACGGCACTATTTGCCGTCTCAAAAAATGAGAGTATTTGCGGCAGCAGAAAAACGTCGCAAATACTCTCATTTTTTGAGACGCAAATACTCTGCTTTTTTGAGACGGCAAATGGTGCTGTCACAAAAAGTGACTTTCTGAGACGGCAAGTGTGCCGTCGCAAATAGTTCCGTCTTTTAAGCCCACTTTTCTTGTAGTAGATGAAATGATGAATAATTAAATATACATATTCCCTCTCGTTATACGACAATGACATTTACATACAAATAAAAAAAATGGACTGAGACTTACAATAAAAGAGAGGACACTACTCTTTATAAAAAAATTGCACTTAGCCGAACAACAAATGAAGTAGTACAATCTATCACTACATTACACTTATGAAATAGTAAAAACCATTGTTTGATCTTCAAATCCGAAAAGCATTCCTTGTACACACGTACAGGCAGGGGGTAAGCAACCACTAGCTCACCAAGCAATCTCATATTAAAACATTAGAAGATATGAGGATGCTAAAATACTCGTACATATACGTGAAATCATATCATGTCAAAACCATATGATTTTATTACATAATCTCTTAAATTCAATTTATTTAATTAACCATAACAAATAAACTTAAATAAATAAACATGTTTCAATAGTAACAAAACATCATTTTCAATTTATTCAATTATCTCACTATCAATTGAGTTAAATAATTAAACAATTCATCAAATTCATTTTATACAGTCTTATGAGATGAATGCATATGCCATGTTATGCCCAAAATATTTTTCTCATCTTTTGAAAATCTTACGCACAATGCCATTTTGAAAACATATTAATCCAACAATTTCAATAAAATTCCAAGATGGTAAATACAACTCAGGTAATCCCTAGGCTGGTGTCTACAAGTAGACTATACGAGTACTACCAATTTGTCATTTTTACCAGTATTAACTGGAAGGCTCGACACCTATCATCTACACCACCTTTCAATCTCTAGGCTGGTGTCTGCAAGTAGACTATACAAGTACTACCAATTTGTCATTTTTACCAGTATTAACTGGAAGGCTCGACACCTATCATCTACACCACCTTTCAAGACTTACCACCGTATTTATCCCAAAATCATTTCATAAAAACTTGTTTCCCAACATTACTTTCTCAATGCAAAGTTTTTCCAATTCAATTTCAAAACTCATCATTATTAAATGAATTGATATGCTAATGCAATGATTAATAATACAATGCAATATTTCTTCCACTTTTAATACTTCCACACAATATTCACATTGTGATCAAAATTCTCATTTCTCATTTCAATATAATTTCTCAAGATGAATAAAAATACTTTTACTCCAATTCATCCATAGGACAACAAAATTTTCACACTTAGCGTAATCTCAACCATTTAGTCACTTCAAGACTATATCAACATTTTAAACAACAATTTTCAAAACTTCAACAATTCTCATATTCCATGAAAACCATCATTTATATGTAAACAAATAAACAATTTTTCAAACATCATTTATTTTGGCATACAAAGTAAATATAACAACATCTTCAAAGATTGTCAACATATTTCTTAAAAATTCTCAATTTCTAGATTTTTTTCACCAAAACCACTCATCTTCATTTATTGAAAGAAAGTCACCAAAAACATCTCTCTTCAATTCTCATAGTTCAAAACCCTCAATTTCTATTTTAAAGGGAACAAGAAAGTAAATCCACTTTAAAAAAAACAAAAAAAAAACTCTCATCTTCTTGAATCAACAATCAATTTTCAAAACAAATCAAAGGATGATTTCGAAAATCATCTAGATCTTACAAAAACATATATATAACTATACTTCAACATAACCATTTTTCATGCCAAGCTATTTAAAGAGGTAATATTTTTACTAAATTCTCTACCAATAACAATTTCACAACTTTTTCTAAAATTATTTAACCAACATGATATTTACATAAAAAATTATGAAATATGCCCAATAGTAACATTTTCAAGATTATGAGTTCGAAAGTCCACATTTCACATTTTTATTTTCATAAAAATGAACATAACTTAATCATCAACATATTATCTTTTATAAAATATCATGAATACAACATTTTTAGAGTTTTTAATCCCAAAATAACTCTATAATTCCTACTTAAGCATTTACTCCATATTCTTCAACATTAATTTATTTTTCTCAAAAATCAATTCCAAATCAAAGATAAAAAAAAAAAATCAACTTTATATTTTTCAAAATAAATCATCTAATCATAATATGATGTAAATACAATCATACAACTATTAAATTTTATTTTCGGATTTCTTCGCAAAATTATCAACACAAAATGATTTTTCCAAATGAATCTCAAAATGTCAACATTCTTAACATTTCAACATAATTTTTCTTCCAAAAATTACCAAACAAAAATCTGAATATATATATATATATATACATGCAATACCACTTATGATGATATATTTTCTCAAAATAACCCTAACATGGCTTTAATGTAAAAATATGAAGAAAGTCCCTACGTCAAATATAAAGAAAGGAAAATCTGAAAATGCAAAATCACCATTGCGAAGATCACGACGAGCTCTCCAACTTTCATAAATCTCACTCTAAAGACTTCCACTCTAAGCTTAAAGCTTGAATAACAATGGAGAACAAAGAAGAGAGAGAGAGAACCAGTGTAAAGTCCCTACCTCAAATATGAAGAAAGGAAAATCTGAAAATGCAAAATCACCATTGCGAAGATCACGACG